TGGTGGATGCGGAGAAGGACGGGTGGCACGTGGGAGGATCTGCGAAAGATGGACGACGCCTCGGACGAGTACTACAAGGAAAAGTTGAGGATGACCCCCAGGGTGTTCATGGAAATCGTGGAGGCGTTGTCTCCTCTTTTTCTTCAGCGGCGGGTGACATTCTACAGGGTTCCTTTGCAGCCAGATCACATCATCGCATATGCGTTGTACCGATGGGCGAGCGTTGAGACATACGAGAGCAGCACGTCGTCATTCGGAATAGGGCGCGCATCCGGGTTGATCGCACTGGAGGACGTTACGAGGGCGCTCCTGAGGGTGTACAGTGACAAAATCGTATGGCCTACTGGGATGCGTCGTACGCTCGTTCTGCGTGCCTTCGAGGCGAACGGCTTTCCCAACTGCTATGGCTGCATAGACTGCACGCACGTTTACGTCGACAAACTGGCGAACGCTCCTTCGGAAAACTACTTCGACCGGAAGCATCATTTCTCCGTTGTAGCGCAGGTGGTGGTGGACCTGGACTTGCGCATCACGGACGTTTTCGTCGGTTGCCCAGGGAGCTGCCATGACATTCGGGTGCTTCAGCTCTCCAGTCTGTGGGCGCGTGCGGAGGAGGGGGATCTTTTCTGTGGAGCTCCTGTTGTGCTGCCGTTCGGAGTGACGACACACGGTTACATTCTGGGCGACAACGGGTATCCGCCGCTGGAGTGGATTGTCGTGCCGTACAGGGGGACCGATCAAATCCCCGACGAGGAGAGGTTCGACAACAAGCAAAAGGTCGCCAGGGGAGCAGTAGAGAGAGCTTTCGGGAGATTGAAAGGGATGTGGAGGCTGTTCCTCCGCACACACAAGACGAATATGGACACTCTCCCGCAACAGTTTCAGGCCGTGTGCATTCTGCACAACATCCGCCTTGACGATGGCATGGAGTTCGACGATAACTTGCTGTGGGAGGTCAATGCTAATGGCGTGCGGCGACGAGTGGACTTGGGGTTTGATCATCCACCCCACCCCATTGCAGAGAACTTCAATCGGCCCCGTGCGTTGGGGCTACGCGAGGTGTTGGCGGAGAGGATGAAACACGCATGAAGGCGCGCACCGCGTCGACGGCACGTGGCTCTGTCGTCCTTGTGGAGGTCGTTCTGTGTTGTGTCCAACGGGTGCATTCTGTGTTATTTAGTTGTTGCAGGCGTGTGCCGTACCCTGGGGTGTTGTGTACGTTCAGTGCGGGTTGTCATTGATCGCTAGTGTCGCGGAGCTGTCGTCGGAGACGCTGGTCATCCGCAGCTCTTTTCCTTCTTTTTTTTTGTTAAACATTTTGTAGTAGGTTTTTGGCGACCGGTGATGCGGTTTGTTGTGAGCGAGTGCGCGCAGCTGCGCGATTTCGTTTTCGAAGAAGACGGTGTCTGTCGGCGGGGTAATCAGTCCGGAGGTGACTCGTTTTTGTTCACCTTTTTTCAAATGTGTACTTTGGATTGGAGTTCCGGCTGCGTGTGTGCGTTTATCGGTGCTGTGTGAAGATGCTGTGATTTCGTGTATGTGATGGCAATCGAAATGTCTTTTTTTTCCTATTTCATTTTTTTTCGTTTT